GGAAATTAATGTTTTAAATTAATTTGAATTTTCCAGCAGAGTACTTGATCGTGTCAACAGACTTTGTTTTCGTATTTATTACAGTTTCAGGCAAATTAGTCACACTAAGGGCAGCTGAAAGAATCATGAAAGAAAAATGATTTATGTCAACCTCATTATGCAAAAGCTCAAGGTTATTGAAAAACACCCAACCCACAAAGAAAAACAAACCAAGTCATAACCCTAAAACCTGACAGATTTAACCAAGAAATATACTGGTCTTTCCTGGTTGTTTTATTGTTATTGAATTCACTGGTCTAGATCATGCTGCTTAATAATAGTCAAGTGAATGATAGTTCTGCTATACTCATCAGCATATGTCTGGTATTTAAAGTCATGACATACCATTAACACTATTATGGATGCATTCAATATCAGTATGGAGTTCTGATAGTGCAACATTCCACTGCAAATCACATTTTTTGGCAAACTGGTTATGCTGAAAAGCTCATGAAGTGATAACTTTTAATGGTGCAGTTTTCATTTCTTTAAGTAAGCTGTATTTATCATTTAGAAATTCTACATTTCTCAGTAAAGATAGAGCAGAACTTTGTCAGAACACATGCCCTGAAGAGGGTTTTTTCTACAGTGTTTGGTGCTAGCCAGTACTGGAAAAAGGATAACAAATTAAATGACTTATTGATCTGCTCCAGCACAGAAAATCCTGGGTTTCTCCGTGTCCTGGATTCAGCAGTAGCAATCATTTTTCTCCTTCTCAGTAGCTGGTGCAGTGCTGTGGCTTTGACTTTCAGCCTGGGAACAGCGCTGATAACACCAATGTTTTTAGTTGCTGCTCAGTGATGTTTACTCCGACCAAGGACTTTCTGAGCCTCATGCTCTGCCAGGGAGGAGGGGAAGCCGGGAGGAAGCAGAGACAGGACACCTGACCCAAACTAACCAAAGAGGTATTTGATACCACAGCACGTCATGCCTATTACATAAACTGGGGCAATTACCCAGAAGGGCTTGATCACTGCTTGGTTGGGCAGGGCATTGGTCAGCAGGTGGTGAGCGGTTATATTCTCTTCCCTTGTTATTTCCCGTATCATTGTTATTACTGGTGGTAGCAGTAGTGGTTTTGTGTTATACCTTAGTTACTGGACTGTTCTTATCTCAACCCATGAGAGTTACATTCTTTTGATTCTCCTCCCCATGCTTCTGGGAGCTGGGGGGAGGAAGGGTGGGGAGTGAGCAAACAGCTGTGTGGTTTCTGAGTGACAGGCTGGGCTTAAACCATGACAGCTATTTTTGGTGCCCAGTGTGTGGCTTGAAGGGTTGTGTCGTGGTTTAAACCCAGTCAGGTAATTCGTTCACTCACTTCCCTCCCTTTCTTGCCCTCCCCCTGCTCCCGGAGGGACAGAGAGGAGAATCGAAAAGAATGCAACTCCCACAGGTTGAGATAAGAGCAGTTTAGTAACGAAGGTATAACACAAGTCACTACTGCTACCACCAATGATAATAATGATAAAGGAAATAACAAGGGAAGAGAATACAACACCTCACCATCAACCAACCGATAACTCGGCCCCCCAGCCCGACCAAGCTCCGACCGATACCTCCTCCAACCCCGCAGTCTCCCAGCCCTTCCGGCTAACTCCCAGTTACATCCTGGGCATGACATGCTGTGGTATGGAATACCTCTTTGGTCAGTTTGGGTCAGGTGTCCTGTCTCTGCTTCCTCCTGGCTTCCCCTCCTCCCTGGCAGAGCATGAGGCTCACAAAGTCCTTGGCCAAACCAAAACATCGCTATCAGCTCTGTTCACAGGCCGAAAGTCAAAACACAGCACTGCACCAGCTACCAAGAAGGAGAAAAATGACTGCTAGTGCTGAACCCAGGACAGGTTGAGATAATGAAAGATATGACCAGAGAGTGTCTAATTGTATTTGTGATGAACATTCCTTGTTAGAGATTAATAGTCACTCGTCACAATGCTGTTTTATTGGCTCTAAAAGTTGTTGCTCTTGATCTTCAAAATGTCATACCTTACAGGTGGTATTTGCTGTGTTAGGGTTTATCGGCTGGGGACCTTGGGCTAAGGTTCTTGTTTCATTGTACATTATGGCAATGACTTGTAATAAAATAGACTCATTGATCATGAAACTGATCTGGTTTGTGTTCCCAGTGTGGTCACCACCTCCATTCTTTGGGCAGTATATAATAGGAGTGTATAGCAATTACACATTTTTTTCCCCTCCTCAGGTGGTCAGCCTGTGAGGGAGACATTCCCACACACCCTAGTGACAAGTACAGCAGCTACTCAAACTCTGACTACAACAGATAACACAGCTTCTCCAACTCCAAGCACAGCACCTACACCAACCCCAAGGAGAGGTACAGCAGCTACTTAAACTCTGACCGTAGCAGACAGCGCAGCTACTCCAGCTCCAAGTGCAGCAGCTACACCAGCCCCAGTGACAAGTACAGCAACATCATTTGAGAGTTCTGAAGGTTTTGAATGACATTTGGGTACCTTTGAGGCCTGCCTGCTGATTATGATGGGAACCACCTTGTTGACACACATACAGAGTGTGTGTTACCATGACTATTTTGTCTGATCTCAAAAGTTAAGCAGAGTCAGGTTTGGGTCTTGTCTAGGATTAGATGACAACAAAGGAGGACCATGAGATTTTTGCCGAGGCTGGGCACTCATGAGTGGCATGCTGTGGTGTGGTACAGTATGGGAGAATATCTAGTTCACTGGGCCCCTCCAGTGTTTGGAAGCGTGGGAGATGGAAGGCAGCTGTATGGAGACCCCAGCGACAAGTTGCAGAAACTGCTGAAGGGGAGGGTGAATTATTTCATGTCTGGTGGGCCCACGACCCTTCAGGCCATCAGGGGAGAGATGCAACATACAGATGGACTCATGATCGAGGGGTGGACTTAGCAATGGACATTATTGCCCAGGTTATTCACAAGTGTGAAAACTGCACACAGCCTCTCCTGCACTGAAAGACTGTTACAAGAGATGGAGCCCAACATCATGGACCGGATGGACTCAGCAGTTTTATAGGGATTGCTCCATGCACTAAGGAATGATCTCTCTCTCTCTCTCTGTGTGGATGTATATATACGTATATAATATGAGATCTGAGCATGACGGGAATGGTATGGAGTAAAAGGTGGATACTGTCCTGAGTTAAGCAGTAGCAGTCATTTTTCTCCTTCTCAGTAGCTGGTGCAGTGCTGTGGTTTTGACTTTCAGCCTGGGAACAGCACTGATAACACCAATGTTTTTAGTTATTGCTCAGTAATGTTTACTCTGACCAAGGACTTCCTGAGTCTCATGCTCTGCCAGGGTGGAGGGGAAGCCAGGGGAAGCAGAGGACATGAGGAAGCAGAGACAGGACACCTGACCCAAACTAACCAAAGAGGTATTTGATACCGCAGCATGTCATGCCCAGTATATAAACTGGGGGCAGTTACACAGAAGGCCTAGATTACTGCTGGGGTTGGGCTGGGTATCGGTCGGTGGGTGGTGAGTGTCTGTATTCTCTTCCCTTGCTATTTCCCATATCATTATTATTATTGGTGGTAGTGGTGGTTTTGTGTTATACCTTAGTTACTGGACTGTTCTTATCTCAACCCATGGGAGTTACATTTTTTCAATTCTCCTCCCCATCCCTCCAGGATCAGGGGGAGGAAGGGAGGAGTGAGTGAGCAAGCTGCATGGCTGACTGGGCTTAAACCACAAAACAGGAAATCCAGGAAATCGTCTAACCAGAATGATAGGTTAGAATGGCATTACTTTCTTACAGTACCTGGTACACGGGGGATTGCTCTGACTATCACGCACACTGAGAAGAGACAGTTTATAGCTTATATGCCTTTATTACATTCATACTCACCAACATTCTGTGAAATGCCCACCAAATTCTCATTACTCATTGCATATGGTAATTTGGGTAGATAAGGCTGTGGTGCAGGCACTGTGAATTTGAGGAGTGATCTCTGGGGTCCTGGTGGTCATCTGAGGAAAAATACCCCCACTCAGTTTACACTTTTATGCAAATCAGTTAGTTAAGGACATTGGAATGCTTGGTTTAGTCTTACGAATTAATTACATGTTCTTGTTTGGTCTAATTTGGGACCCTGAGAGGCTCCTCTAGTTTTCTTTTTCAGCTGTTTACCTATTCTCAGGCCTTATCAACAGCAGGAAGGCCTACATTGGTTTGAGAGAAGACATCTGGTTCTCTTGTTGCATGCCTTCCATATATTGAGAATCCTTGTAGATGTCCATGGCTAAGTCTCTTTATACTATGAAATACTAGTTTAATTCAGTATCAATACTTTATTCCTATATGGGTCGAAAATGTTCAAAACAGTTATGACCCAAAATCTGAGGAAAAAAAAAATTAATTTTACAGCCTTGTCCATCACCAAAGTGGTTTTCCTCTTCTTGGTCTAACAACCCCGCTTCCTTTATTACTTTTTAGTTGGTGAAGCTGCAGTGTTTGGGGGTTGAGTAGCACCAGCATCTGCGTTGTCGTTTGTGATCAGGGTTTGAGTAGCTGCTGTACTTGTAGTTGGGGTTGGTGTAATTGCTGTGCTTGGAGTCGGAGTAGCTGCGCTGTCTGTTGTGGTCAGGGTTTGAGTGGCTGCTATACTTGTCACTGGGGTTGGTGTAGCTGCTGGATTTGGAGTTAGAGTAGCTGCATTGTCTGTTGCTTTGCCAACAGATCCAGAGACATCTATTTCCCTTTGAAGGTACTGGATAGTGTTGAACAGCGCTCTGTAGGAGTAGGCCAAGCCCTAGCATGTTGCCATGATTTGTCCCTCTCTGGTATGACCAGGATGGCAACACAGCTCATTTAAGTGTTTTACTAATTTTTCCGGATTTTGCACTTGTTCAGTGGTGAAGTTCCAAAGCACTGGAGGGGCTCAATGGCCTAGATACTTACCCATACTAACCCACACACCCCAGAACCCGGGATTCCCAGGTCGTCTCACATTCAAGTACTAACTGAGCCCAACCCTGCTGAACGCAGTCACCCACTGCCACAGATTATGCAGTTGAGTTTCCTGCATTTGGGGAAGTAGCAGATGTCAGCACAGCCGGAGTGCAACGGATGAGCCTCACCTTGGAAAAACCACCTGCCTGATTATGGTGTCTCCCCTGCCAGGTAAGTATACCTTCACCTAATCCTGGTTAAATCCTTGCTTGTTTTTCATGCCTACAGTTCTGCAATTACCTCTTGCAAAACAGTTGTATTATTTACTAAGGGAAAGTACTTTCCCTCTGGCCAAAGCTGCTAAAGAAAGCACAACGCTTCTCACAGGGAGATGTAACAGGTAGCACCTAACACGATGGAATTAATGGCTGTTCCATATAGAACAAATATTTTGTGGGAAAAGAATCATAGGATGGCATAACTTGCACTAGTCTAGTTTGTTGGCTCCCTTTAGGTATTGTAAGACTGCTCTAAGGTCTCCTCTGACCCTTCTCTTCTCCAGGCTGAACAAGCCCAGCTCCCTCCTCCTGCCTCCAGAGCCCTGCAGCACCTCCATGGCTTCCCCTGGACTCGCTCCAACAGCTCCATGTCCCTCTTGTATTATTGCCCCAGAGCTGGACACAGGACTGCAGGGGGAGTCTCCTGAGAACATAGTAGAGGACGAGAATCCCCTCCCTTGACCTACTGCTCGTGCTCTGGGAATGCAGCCCAGAACAGGGTGGGGCTGTGGGCTCAAACACACACTGCTGGGTCATGGGGAGCTTTTCATAACCCAAAACAATAAAGTCCTTATCCTCAGGGTTGCTTAATCCAGTCTCTCCCAGCCTGTATTTGTTTTGGGGATTGCCCCCAGCCCAGGTGCAGGACCTTGTACATGGCCTTGCTGAACTCTGTGAGGTTCACTCCCTCCCACCTCTGCAGCCTGTCATTGCCACAGAATGGACTCAGAGATCAATATGATCAGAGCAAAAGCCATTTATTACAAAGTATCAACTCCTTATTTATTGTTGCTTACATTTGTTCACAATGATTTGGCACATTATGATTGGATGCATGTCCTTAAGACCCCTAGTAACTAATATATATAATTGGCCAGGCACATTTATGAGAACTTGACCCTGAGCTTGCCAACAGTCCACAGTTCTCATAACTCGGTGAATTCCAGCTTCTTCTTATCTTGCTTGCTTAAGCTTCCTCAGGCCTCTCATGGCCTTGCTGTATCTTTCAGGATAATTCAGAGTTCATGTACCAAATATCCATTCTCCTGTGGAGAATGTCATGGTCCCTCTGTATCTCATCCCTTCTCTCTATTGTGTTGACCCACCACACAGGTTGGTGTCATTGGTAAACTTGCTGAAGGTGCCCTCTATCCTGCTGTTGCTGACAAAGATATCTTATGCACATTGTGCGCAAAACCTTTTTAAATAAAGATGTCTCTCTGCAGCAGTATTTAGCTGTCAAAATCCATCACATAGAATTTCTATGGACAGAATATGATTCCAGAAAGAATTATGCTACCTTTTAATCTGATTTGCTGTCTGGATTAAAAGAAATTTCATATGTAGAGAATAACTTTATTTTTAGTATTTCCAAAGAAGAGAAGGCCATTTTGCTGCTCTCATCTCTCATTTGGCTATACACTCAGCTCAGTCCTTTCAGTCTAAAATGCCACCTGCCCATTCTTTTACTACCCATTTCCCAGGAAAAGATTTCATACAATATATGATTTAACTCATAAACTGTCATAGAAAAATGCTGAAAGAAAAACCATAGCATTTCCTTCTATCTCTATAAAACACATGAACATGTGAAGAAGGATGCAAAGTTTTTATCTGCATAATTCTGGGGTGATTCATACTTTTAGAGGTGTTCTGGCAAGAAAAATGTAAAATAATCTGCATTACTTGTAAGCAATAATGTTACAGTGAAATTATGCATTTGTCAGCCCAAACTAGTGATAAGCTATTGCACTCTGTTGGAAATATGGCAGTTTCTATAGGTCTCAGTAGAGATGGCAGTGTTGAACAAACACAAATTTAGGGACAGTTAATGCCCAGAAGACCTTATTATCTAAATTAGTCAGGCTTAAAAAGAGAAAGGGAATATTATAATCTTCATTTTAAAGACAGAGCAGACTGAGATTTTGAGGGATGTAATAACTTCTCATGTTTTTGTACAATGTGACTGTCATAGCACCCCCATGCTCTGTGGGAACTGCAAGCCATCCTGTTCCCACTATGTGGATAATTAAAGAAGAAGAAGAATTGCTGATAGTGCACCTGGGTCTTGAGTAAATCAGGGAGTGTTTGGGTGCAAGGTCGGGCTGGGAAGCAGCCTGGGGAGTGATTGTTTATAGAATGGAGTTTATAGTGACTGAAAACAGTCACTGGGAATGATGTAGCTGCTGTTTGGCTTCGCAGCTCAGACCCGTATCTGTATGCTACATATTACCATGCTTGAGTGAATGAGGTAGAACTAGTTGTGAAAGCAGTGTATGTGTGTGTGTGTGTGTGTGTGTTTAGCCTCTTTCTTTACAGATGCTGCAAATGGTGCCCTCCTTGTGTGGTAACTAAACTTCTTGACATTGCTGTGCCTGCACAATCAGACGGGGAATTTCTGGTACCAACATTCTCCTGTTAAAGGTCAGTAATACTCGTTGAACAGGGAATTATGGGATTGCATTAGAAAAATGGGACAAGTAGAATCAGCTGAACAGAAATTATATTTGAAAGTTTTACAAAAATTTTAAAATCCTCTAGATATCATTTGTCTGAGAAGCAAGTAATGAATCTTTTGTTATGGGTGAAAACAACTTGCAACTGGTTTCCAGCAGCAGGGGCGTTTCATACTCTGATATGGGAGAGAGTGGGAGACAGACTCAAAATCGCCTTGGTATGGAGGTTGCTGTTGGTTTAATAGTGACATGTTTTCTTCTCTATTCTGCATTATCTAATTTACAATCTCCTGAGGATATAATTCAGAAACATGATGACACAAATGATCAAAATACTGACAATTTGAAAGAGCGAGGACAGAAATCTTTTCTGAGAAGCCTGATGATCCTTCTTGATCCTGTCTCTGTCAATTCAGAAAAGAAGCAAAATTTATACCCACCTTTGACACCATTAAAGACATTCACATTGAATATTCCTCATGCTGCTCAACCTACATCACCTCCTTTGACTGATCTCTTTAGTTAACTAGAAGGCTACTAAAATATTTATACAAAAATATATGGGGAAAGAGAGGATGGTGATTTTACTGGAGACATGGCTTTCTCTTTTCCTGTATTTTATAAAGCATATGGGCAGGGACAGCAATGACTGAAATGACTGGTACATGTAAATATTCTGTACACAGTATTTAAGGAATTGAAAAAATCAGTGATGGAAAATGGAATTCCAAGTCCTTATATATTAGGTCTGCTAGAAATGATGGCTAGTTCAGGTTCTATGGTGCCACAGTATTGAAACACTTTAATGTGAATGATTTTGACACCTGCTCAATACTTGGTATGGAGATTGGAATATAATAACTTAGTGGCTTTAGAGGTATTAGATAATGTTCAAAGAGGAATACCAATAGATGCTGACATGTTAACAGGCTCCGGGCAACGGTTGCAACCTCATAATCAAATTAATTTAAACCCTCTGGTATTTCAGCAATCTGCCTGTATGGCTGTACAATCCTGGAGGCGAGTACCTAAATCAGGAGAGAAAACTACACCTTTCAAGACTGTTCTCCAAGGGTCTCAGGAAACCTATGTGTCTTTTAAAGACAGATTAAATAATGCTATACAAAGGCAGATTGATAATCCTGAGGTTGCTTATGCACTTTTATTTCAGCTAACATATGAAAATGCAAATGGAGATTGCAAAGCTGCTTTAGCCCCAGTCAGGGAAAAGTTTACAGACATTGCTGAGTTTATTAAAACATGACAGGATATCAGCAACGAGGATCAGAAAGCTTCTGTATTGGCTGCTGCATTATCAAAATGTACTATGAATCAGCAAAAATGTTTTAACTGTTAACAGGAAGGACATATTAGTAAAATGAGTCCCAGAAAGAAACAAAAGCAGAAAGAAAAAAGTCATGTCAACTCTGTCCCAGATGCAAGAAAGGATATCACTGGAGCAATTAATGTAAATCTAAATTTCATAAGGATGGAAATCCTTTGTCTGGAAACTCCAAGCAGGGGGCAGCAAAACCCGATGCCCCTCAAAATAACAGGTTTTTTTTTGCAGCAAAACCTCCATCTCTGACCTTGCAGCTGCCACAATGGGCAGAACCGGGTTGGATTTGGCAACAAGCACTGACATCAAATTAGATTGCTCCACTGTTAAAGCTATCGCTACCAACGTTTGGGGACCTTTACCAAGTGGATTTATGGGTTTTCTGTTAGGACGCTGAAGTACAGCTCTCCAAGGAGTGAAAGTTCATCCTGGAAGTAATAGATTCGGATTATACAGGAGAAATAAAAATTTTAACGTTTGCCTTAAATGGCAGTTGTATAATTCCAAAAGGACAAAAATTAGCACAACTTGTTTTGATTCCTTACTGGGTGTCAAAAGTAGAAATTAACACAAGGAATAACTCTGGATTTGGAAGCTCTGGGAGAACTGAGGTTTAATTGACTCAGAAACAACTTTTATTGAATTTGCAAATAGAGAATAGAGTCCATAGTGGATTAACAGACACTGGAGCAGATGTTTCCCTTATTTCACAGTCTCAATGGCAGACTGATTGGCCCTTTGAAAAGACTTTAGCAACAGTAGCTGGAATAGGAGGAATACAATCTCCTTTTAAAAGCACTCAAGTCCTCAAAGCTATTGTACCAGATGGTGCTGTAGCTCATTTTCAACCATATATACTGTCATTTTCTATGAATCTTTGGGGAAGAGATTTGCAAATGCAATGGAATTTACTACTTACCACAGAGGGGGCAAATTTATCCTAACGGTCGCTGATCTGAAACCCCTGCTCAGACTTTCATGGTTAACATTAAAAACAGTTTGAGTTGATCAGTGACCTTTAAAAGGGGAAAAATTGGAGCAAGCATATTTATTGGTTGAAGAGCAACTGAAAGCAGGACATATTGTTCCATCTACTAGTCCCTGGAATATACCCAGTTTTGTAATCCCAAAGAAATGAGGGAAATGGAGATTTTTGCAAGATCTGC